GAGAAATGAGAAATAATAATAAGAGTTGATTTATGATAGAAAGTAAAAAGAGAATAAATTTCTAAAGTGAGTGTCAACATATTGTCTCCTAGACTATTGAATCAATCATCGAAGAGTATAATCAACTTATGTGTCACCATAGAATTTTCGAAATAATTTCATCAGTGTTGTTTTCCTATTTATTCTAGATAAGATAAAACTAGTTCTAGTTATTTATGCTTAGAAATTAAGACAAGTATCAATCGTCTATCCTCAATCAAATAGAATTTAAATAAATAGATCAACTAATTGAAGAGTTTGAAGATCAACGAATAGATTTTCATTGAATAAAATATTATTTTTTATTGTTATGTGAAAGGTAAATGAAAGATCTGTTTATATCCAACTTATAGATCTAGAAATGGAATTCTCTCCTAATCTTCATTTATAGTAAATCGATCGATCAATTTTTATTATCATTCTTATAAATAATTTCTTTTTTCTTTTTCACTGTGTTTTAGAAAATTCTCAAGTCGATTGTTTTGTTCTTATAAAGTTGATATGATCTCATCAGTTAGAATAGTCATTTTTAGAATATCGTTGCTAAACTTACTGAACATACTAAGAGATTTGTAGAAAATTCGATTCTAATGATAAAAAATAGAAGCATTACTGTAAAAGGAAGTATATCATTGAATTTTTAACTTTTTTCTTTCTCTTATATTCTTCATATTTAAACCGAGGAGAAAAAATTTTTTTTAAATCTTATATTTGATTTATCTCAATGATCTTTTAGGTAATTCGCATCGTCTTGTTTTTCCTCTAACACGAACTCTAATGTCCTTCTCAGACATAAACAGGAATGGTTGGTTTAACTGAAAAAAATCGATAAGGGCAACATCTAGCTATGTCTGCTTTTTTCAACAACCATATTAAAAAAAAACATATGATAAGGACTTGTTATCTATATGAATCTTTGACTTTAATCTCGAATTTAAATAGATACATCAAAACTCAGTAAAATTTCTTATTATTTGCTGATGTTAATGCGTGAATATCCGCATTGGTATTTTTCTGAATAGATCTAAAGTATCCCTATCTCATCATTCCTTGTTTTTCCTTCATACAGATTTCTTGTTTTCTTAAACACATCCACGCCAAAAAAGGTTTTCAAGTAGATAGTGATAACTGACCAAAAACTATTTCCTAAGAGTATGACGAGAAGACTTATATGATTAACTAAGAGAAAATAAACTCTATTCTTATTTTAATAAAATATTCCAATTGACTATTAATAGATCAACGTCAACCGGAAAAAAAATGATAATAAATAGAAAAAAAACTATTGTTAAAATTCTCTATTTACCTGTATGAATAGGATTAGAAGGTGAAAAATAAAAGTAAAGAATGAGAGAAGGACAGCAGCCATGATTATTTTCTCATGGTGTCCCTATGTTACACATTTGAGTTGCTAAAAAACTTCTTCTTCTTATGCGCGTTTAGAAGATTGATAGTTTTTATTTGATGATTATACTAGGACATTATCAATTATTATTATTTTTATCTCTCAAAACAAACTGATAGATCTAATAGATCTCTACTTAATTCATTTTCTCCCATACATCAGTTTTAATTTATCTTTTTATTTATAACAAAATACATAACAAACAAAAAGTTATATTTTATTAGTTTGATTACTTCAATAATTAACTACATTCACATTTCTATAGACAATTGAATTGACTAAACGAAAACTGTTTATCTTTTATTTAAAAAGTATTATTGATAAAAGAACGGAACCAAAAATGGTAATAAATATCTTTATCATTATGATAAAGATTTAAATTTACATAAAAATCCGATAAAAATATAATATATAAAAAGATAAATAACCATTTATGATTTCTTCCCTATCGTTTTAAACTAACTAATTTGGTTTGCTCAACATCGAAAATAAAGTCTACTATTTAAAAAGTGAGATTAGTTTTTGCAATAGTATCTTTCATAGAAATAAATTCCAATTTATTCAAGTCTATCGGGATTTTTCACAAATTGACTATCAATATTTTATCCCATGTTTTTTAACTCTTTACTCACTTTTTTCGAATAAAAGACAAGTTTTAGAATCATTCTGATACAAAATTAAAATTTCTTTCAGGCAAAAAATAAAATAAAATCAGGAAAAATCTTTTCTTTCTCTTCTTGTTAGAATCTAGTTAGTATGCTTATTTATGACTCATTTTCTCTTTCTTACTGTTTATATTTGATGATTATATCCTATGTGCTAAAAAGGACACCTTATAGAATTTATATTTATTATTTAGCTTGACAATCGATCATTTATAATTGATTTGTTCGTCAAAATGAAGAACAAATAACAAAGAATTTAACGATAAAACAAATAAATAACGAAGATAAATGCAATAGACTAGTATAAAAGACTCGAAAATAAACAAGATTATATTTAGTCGAATTGGTTTGTTCTTTTATCTCGATAGTCTATAAATAACCGGTTGAAGAACATATTTATTCAAGGGAGTTCTATTCACATTCCAATAGAAATCTAGAAATAATAAATCTATTCGATTGATTATTAACTGGTATTACTAGTTGAAATATGCATAGGATTCAACATTAGATAGTAGTTCAACGAATTTTCATTTTTAACCTAATTATATTAAAATCTAGGTTAAAATAAAACAGTAGAATAGAAACTCTCTCCTATTCTATCCAGATAATAGATTATATTAACAATTTTATATATATAGTCGAAATACTTAATGTATTATATATATATATATAAAATGCAATAGATGAGATATATTTTCTATTGATTAGAAGATTTCGATATGAAGATTTCTTTCTCTCGAATTTTATTTTAAAAATCATTTCTTATTTCGAGTTTATTTTTACCTTATATTATGTGTTAAAAATTCGCTGATTAATAACCAATCTAAAGAATTTAGGTTCCATTGTTAAAATATGAATGAGTGCATTTATATTTATATATATTTGAGAAATATAATCGGAGTTCTATACTTAACATCAAATATATTTTTCGGATCTGATTTAATAAGTGTGTTGATAAGTTATCGTCTATATTAATTTAATAGTAATACTTGAAAAATAAATAAAAGATTTAAATAAACTATAGATAGGTGTATTTTAAGGTAATTATTTATTTATAAGTATAGTTGACGCGTAAGAATTATATTTAGTTTTATTTGAAAGATGATTAAGATTATTTAAAAGAAAAGAATTATCATTAAGATAATAATCGATTTATTTAATAGAGTTATCTGAAAAGATTTATCAAAACATAGTTCAGATATAGACTTAAATCGTTTTCACTTTTTTATTTATTTATTTATTTATAACAGTTTCTTAAATTCTTTGTATTTTTATTATATATTTATATATAAAGACGAGAATTGAAAAGAAGAAAATTTTCTAAACTTTTATTGACAGTCTGTTCTTTTATATACTAATTGAATATCGTCTAAATGGTAAATTATCTTTATTTAAATCACAAAAAAACAATCAATATTGTTTTATATTGATCATCTTATTTTTATACTTCCAATTATTTATATATTATCAAAACGAAGCACGAACAATCAAATATATTTTCTTTAAATCATATTTTAACAATATGATTCTAATCGGGTGTGGTGTAGGTGTGGGTGTGAATTAGGACACGAAGAACCCACACCCACACCCATACCATTTGATAATAGATAAGTGTAAGAGAGTAAACAAATATATAGAAAGATAGAGAATTTCAAGCGCTTAAAGAATATATAATTGCTCTTTCAAAACAATCATTCTACAATGATGCAAAATCTAAAAAACTTAATTTGGTTATAGCGACAAAATCATGTATCTGTGGGAATCTGAATATCAGATGATCTTCATTATACTTAATTTATGCTGATCATTCAAAAGCGAAAACTAAAATAGAAATATACAGGATGGTAGAGAATTTCACGCGTTTTCTGAATATAGTATTATTCTTTCAAAAATATGCTATTATAGTAACGATATACCAAAAATACAGTGACTAACTTTTGCTTTCCAGGGATATATATTTGCGTTTGGACCACTCGTCGCATCCATCGTTGGCCTTTCAGGGTCTACTTGGGAAAGAAAAATGGTTGCGTTTATGATTGGATGGAGTCTACGCATGAGAAGATGCAACCACTTCAATCATATTGTCTTGAATTCTTGATCAATGCCTTCTGACGTCCATCGTTACGAGATTCTAGCATCACATATATTTCTCTTAGTTCCATCTATTCCTGAGATAAATCGACAAAATATCATAAGACTATGTTATTATCTTTTATAATAAGACATAAAACACTAAAATGACTGTAATCATATATAAATTTGTAACGAAATATTTCCTATAGAAATAATTAAAACAGCTGATTGCACTATCAAGAAAAGAGCGAAAGCATCATACTGTCAACAATCGTACTCTGACATACTTTACATAAGCAGGAGATTCTCAATACAAGGACGCATATCTAAAACATCACATCTCCAACGAATTATAATTTCTCTAATCTTTACAATATTCGTTACATGTCAACGTCAAACTCCACTTCGACATCCACATTGATATGATGGATTCCAGTGAACTTTATTATTTCAATAAAAGATATAATCAAGCAATTTGTATTTTATTCAAACTAGAATCAACTATAGTTGCTTTTCATGAAGATAATCATAGCTACATATTCATCGTATGCTTTTTTTACTATATCTATATTTTTTTTTCATTCTTATTCATTTTAAGTAACAGCGACTAGCAATAAAAATAATATCAGAGTTAGACGAAACGAAAAAAGAATAAATATTCATTCATAAATTAATTGGACTATGCATTCATTCACGCTATATTTTTTTTATTGAGGTCATCCATTCATTCTATTCAATTATAGGAGTCGGCATTAACAAACAATGAGCATATATATATATATATATGCATAAGAAGAAAAATATTAGTCAAATTCAATATGAATCAATCTAACGTTGGCCTTCTTGATTTACCGAATGAAATATTACTTATTATTTTAAAAAAGCTCGACAATATGGATGTTCTTTATTCATTATTGGATGTTGATAATCAACAACTTGACATTATAGCTCAAGAAAATATTTTCTCTAATACTCTCAATTTTGTATTAACAACATTTAGTAATGATATTTCTTCGATTAGTTATACAATAGTTGATCGATTTTGCACAAATATTTTGCCAAGAATTCATCACAATGTTAAATCTCTTATTCTTGACTCAATATCTATAGAACGTATTCTTTTTGTTGCTGAATATCCTAATCTAACTGAACTTAAACTCTTTAATTTTAATAATAAAATTGCTTCACGTTATTTTACAGGTAAATAACTTACGTATGAAGCAGTAAAAAAAAATTAGATAAAACACTGTTGGATAGGTAGACTAGACAATAACAATTTATGTTTTTATTTAGATAAAGGACCATTTAGAGATAATTTTCGACGACAAATTACAGATCTTACTCTTGTATTCAAAAGGTGTCTTAATGAAACATTAGCACATTATTCAATAAATATGTATGGATATATTATGAAATTCTTCGAAAATCTAAAACATTTATCTATTATTGGATCATCTCTCTGTTGTTTTCCACGTACAGTATATTATAATTTATCTTCAACCATCTTCTCCTCTTCAATTCTTAACAAATTACGTATTCGTGTGAGAAATTATGCAGATTGTCTTGCTGTACTTGATGGTCGTTTCAAACAATTAAGAATCTTGATTGTTGATATTATTAATTTGCGACTTTATTTATCGGATGTATACAATATGGTAAGTTTACATTTTATTAAATTAATCTTTTCAACTTGAAAAAATTACCATTGATTAGAGTAATAATTGTTTTCATATTATTATGGATAGACGTTTTTTTTTTGCCTAATGAATTACTGTTTAATTGAATCAACTGTAATGAAATAGTTGTCAAATGATGATTACACATCTATTTGATAGGTAGATACAATTAGTTTTCTATATGATATTTTCTTAAATTATTAACTATTTCGTCGGTATAAGTCAGTTTGAAAAAATAAAGCGAATAATTGAATTTTATTTTAACAAATAAATTGTTGAGTTTTAGATCTGTTGGTTATGTATCATTTTCTATTCAAAAACGATATGTTTTAAAAATAAGAGTGACAGTGTTTATCTTCTAGAGATTTTGAAAATATATCTAAGTCTTCGAGAACTCGAGAAGAGATTAAACTTATTTTTGTCTAATTGTTCTTTCTCAGGTGGAAACAATCTTTGGTTTCTTTTTTTTTGCTTTCTATTTAGTCATTCTCATTGTCTTAAAATATAGAAAAACTACAAGAAACATGAATATTAAAGATTGCAAATGTGAAGTGCAATAAGGAAAGTGAAAAAACAAAACAAAAGCAAAAGACTCGTGAATACTGAGTGAGAAGAGATAAAGATTATTAAATATAGAAGAAAAAAAATGACAGAAAAAATAAGTCCGACTAACTTTCATTTATTGTGAACTGATGAGTTTTAGGTGAAGATTTTAGTACAAGCAACATTTGTTTGATTCAACAGTTATCTCAGTATTTATTACTTTTTATGCTCTGAAAGTTTAGAAATACAATATAATTATTTGAGTCAATATTGCAGAAGTAGATGTATATATCATATCATAGAAGAAATATCTAAAAATGGATTAAATAGAATAGAACTTTTCAATCAATTATTTATCGAAACAATTTCTTATTTTAATCTCAAATAATATATTTCTTAATATTGATTTATATTTTCTAGGATGATCTACCTAATTTAAAATGTTTCTCTTTAACAACAACGTCTGAGTGCTATGCTGATTTGTATAATACTAAAATACTACCTCTTTTTCGTCGTATGTCAAATCTTGAAGAATTAACTTTGTATCTTACTATCAAAATGGGAACTTCATTTATTGATGGTACTCACATTTATAATGAAATTCTTTCCCATGTGCCACAACTTCATATATTCAACTTTTGTATTTGTACTGAGATTAAAACGGATGATTTTGTTCATCATTTATCAAAAGATGATATTCAAGAAACTTTTCCTAACACAATATATCAAAAAGTGGACTGTATGGTACAATACGGAGATTGTCATGCTGTATGTCATGTTTTTTCATTACCGTTCATGTTTGATTATCTCGGATATATTGGTAATACATTTCCAAGTATTATTTTCAGTCATATTAAAAGATTGACGGTGTCTGATGGAGCTGCATTTGAACATGAATTTTTCAATCGGATTGCTTGGTCTTTTCCTTTACTTGAACATTTATGTGTTATTAATTTTATGTCACCGTCACAAATATCAAAACAATTGAACTCTAATAATAATCAATTAAATTCAATTGTTATATATCCACATCTTATTTGGCTTTGTATTGAAAGTTCTCTTATTGATTATGTCGAGCAATTTCTCAATGAGACAAAACACATCTACCTTCTCTAACCAAGTTAACAATTTTTTATGGTCATTTATATGTTGTGACAGAAAACTTTACAAGATATATAACACGACGGAATTGTATGAAAGTGAACGAATTAGATGTCGAGAATGATAAAATAGAACGTTCAAAAGATTTCAATGCTTATTTTCCTTTGTTATAAGCTTGTTTTTCTTCTAACTAAATAAATAAGAAATAAATAATGAAAATTTATTAATTGTATTTTTGTAATCGAACCATACTGATCAAGCACTATTTATTAGAAATACTTATTAACTTTGGATTGTTTTTTTTTTCTTTAAAAAGATGTTTAAGTTTTACATTTGGTAAATATGACATATAACAATAAAGATTTATTTATTCATCTGATATATTTGAAATAGTTGAATAAATAAAAAAACAAAACAAACAAATCGATTGTCTATTCATAGTCATTGATATATAATTGTAAAATTGGGAACGTAGCCATTCGTCGAAGGTTTATTGGTCGAACGTTAATTAGTCGAATGATAAATCGTCGAACGTTAATTAGTCGAATGATAAATCGTCGAACGACTTTTCGTCGAATGATTATTCGTCGAATAACTTTTCGTCGAATGATAATTCGTCGAATGACGTTTTGTCGAAAAATATTACATAATTTCTCAAATTACCGCTTGATTTAGAAAATAATAGTAAAGCACAGTTGCATTGC